TCAATGCAAGGGCACTTTGTTCTAATAACCCTGCATTCTGTGATGTTCACCTTCCTGACATGATTGCTGAAGACAAAATGGGTGCATAAGCAAATGCGGTGAAGAAAGCTGATGATGTCCAGCTATCAAAAGATATCTAGTCTGGGCTCCTAACTTGTGGGAGTTAAACACACAGCCATCTAGCAGGGAAGCAGCAAAGCCCACATGGAAAAAACACATCAACCTGCATCACCCTGTATCAGGCATCACCCACAACAAACAATCATATCCATGTGAACACAGGGGGCTCGGAGTGGAGACCCAAAACCCATCTGTGGGCAATTGGACATCCTCTCACAGAAGGGTCACAAGGAAGGGATGAGACAGCCAGGGTGCAGTCTAGCACGACAAAACACACAACATTCCTCTAGTTCTTTAATGCGCCCCACCCCCCTTTAGCATGATCTCAGTTCTACTTTACAAATCCAGCCAGACCAGAGCATGGGCACAGGCACAGGACAGAGGTCTCAGCACACGGAATCCAGGACAGACAAACTCAGGAGCAGGAATGGGAGTGGAGGTCCCATGAGGGTAGGGGAAGGTGGGGGGAGAAGGGGGAGAAGGGGGAGCTGGTCACAATGATGGGCATATAACGCACCCCCACCCCTGGTGGAGACAAACAAGAGAAGCAACGTGGGTGAAGAGCGATCGATCGCAGACAGTGCAAGATATGAAAATAATAATAAGTTATCAAGGGCTCGTGAGGGTGTGAGGGTGGGGGAGGGAGAAGGGGAAAAGAGGAGCTGATACCAAGGGCTCAAGTAGAAAGCAAATGATGATGCCAACATTTGCACAACTGTGCTTGATAAAATGGATGTGTGGATGGTTCTAAGAGGCCCCGTAAAATGACTGATAAACACACAGGAGCTGCTGACCTTGAGGTTAGAAGCCGGGCACGTGACCCACCGTGCTGCCGGAGCTCCAGACTCAGAATTCCCAACGTAGCTCGGAGAATTCGCAAATTCCCAAAGAGGAAGTCCGAGTCCCGTGGTGGCGGCGGCGGCGTGCAAATGTTGGTGTCTTAGTGACAGAGGCATGGGGTGAAGTCCCATGGCAACCGATGGGGGACGGGGAAGGGGTGTACGAGAACACTGTGCCACCTTACATGAAACATTCATGCCCTATTCCCCCTGGCAGCCCCCCGGCCCTAGATACAAGCCAAGACTCTCAAACACCTAACTCCTTGCCACAGAATGGACCCCGAATCACAGCAGCGATGCTGGAGGACAGAGCAGACCTGCCCCGTGGGTTTCTGAGGCTGTCCATCCTGGCAGGACTGGTCTCTCCTGACAATGAGCCCCGAGTACGTAAGAGGAAGTCTCGCCATCCTTGCCTCTAAGGAGCACTCTGCCCGGACTTCTTCCAAGACGGGTCTGTTTGTCCTTTTTTGCAGGGCCTCATGCTCGGTAAAGTGGAGGGGCAGGCCCTCAGGAGAGGGACGGACGGACACAGCAGCTGCTGCCATGGGCTCAGGCCCGGG